TTTTTATAAAGAACCAGACAGTCTCTGGCAGCTGCTTTCAGATGCTACAATACAGCCAAGTACAGCAGGCACCACTCCTACTACACAAGCAGGTGCTACAGACTTTAAGACAGGAACTCACCTCTACTTTGTGAAAGGACCGTCACCTACAGCTGGCAATACATACAACATGGCAGGGAACAGAGGTGGGATTTACTGACAAGTCAGACGCCTTAGCGTATTTGAATTCTTATCTCCCATGCCTAACTCTTTATTTTATTGTGGCTTGGACTACTTACCTATTTTTGATTACAAATACTGTGGCATATTTTAGAAGTATACACTACGAACTTCAAGAAACCACCTAAGTGGTTCCCCAAGACCCCATCTGTAAAGCCTGAACAGTTTTTTTATTGTCCCAACAGAGCTTTTCAAGACATTCTGGTGCTTTCCTGCCACCAGAATTCAAGATCTTTTACCCAACATATGAACCAAACAGCTGATTTGGGGGTTTTTTTGTCCGTGTGTATTTTCAGCTTTTACAGACTAAGACCTTGCTACCCAAATTTGTGAGCAGTAACCAAAATACTCACCTCTGCAACAGACTGAAGGCTCCGGGCAAACTTGAGCTGATTAACACCGTGGTGCACGGGTTTGCCATAGGTGGCACCTTTCGGGACTGGGCGCTTGCGGCCACCGCGGCGGACACGGACACGGTAGATCACGTAGCCTGAAAGAAACGGCGACTTAGGAACTAGGAGAATTCCAGTAGGCATTTTAATGCCCATATTGCATTTCCAACCCCCAAAAATTTACATGAAATGCTGCAAGATTAAAGTCATTATAATAACCTTCACCAAAATTTACAGCTGGAGTTGGATAGCACAAGATTTTTTTGTTAGTTTCATCACAACAGAGTAAAGGAAGTGATATCCTCTCACAACTAGTTTTTGGTTCCAAACCAGAGGTTATGGCACCTTTTCACTATTCAGTCTCAAACAGACTAAGAACAGCTACAGCTACGTTGTAACATGATTACAAAATGTAAAAAATTTAAAAAAAAAAAAAGAAAAAAATCACCCCTGAACACCCAACAAAGCCACCACTCAAACTCTGAAATCTCATACTCTAACAGCAGCATTCATAAAGCACTGAAGCACAAGCCATCCACAAACCCTACTGAATTCTAATCACTGAATAACGACCAAAGTAGATGAGCAGTGACAGAAGTGTAGAGTCTTAGCTTTTTATTTTCCTAGTGAATAAACATACTGGTTTTTGTAATGGGATTTGCTCAAGTTACACACAGATGGCCCCTTTCTCCACTTCCTTCCCTAAGCAATAACTGTTTTCCAATAACAGTACAAACTCCATCATCTTGCTTACTCAAGTGCATGCAGCTGTAACAACAGTCATGGAATCACAGAATGGCCCAGGTTGGAAGGTACTTGAAAGATCATCTAGTTCCAACCCCCCTGACATGGAGAGGGGACACTTTCCACTAGAGCAGGTTGCTCAGAGCTCCATCGAACGTGGCCTTGAACACTTCCAGGGATGGTGCAACCCGTTCCAGTGTCTCACCACCATCACAGTATAGAATTTCTTCTCCAACATCTAAACTAAACCTACTCTCTTCCAGTTTGAAGCCATTCCCCCTTGTCCCATCACTACATGCTCTTGTACAAGTCCCTCTCCAGCTCCCTTGTAGCTCCCTTTAGGTACTGGAAGGCCGCAATTAAGTCACCCTGAAAAAAAGTCAAAGTAACGCATGACAATGCTTATGCAGAGAAAGGACACCCCCCAAACCCAAGTTATTAACAGCACTGCTCAACTCTGCAGTACCAACAGTGCACAAGAACTGGGGCCAAAGCCCACTTGATCTTCATCTGCCAAAGCAGCCGCAGAAGGTGCAGATGGAAAATTAAGGGGAGCTAAGGTTTTAGGCTGTGGATGTTGCTACCAACTGAACACGTTTATGATACTCAGCTGATTTCATGTTGGACACTTCAGTTTATTAGGGGATGCTTCAGTTTTCAGATTGTTATCCTGCTGCCACTTAAGGAAGCTGACGAAAGACCAGGTCACTGCACTCTGAGGCGTGTGGAATTCACCTCTCCATGCCATTACCTTGCTTGGCCTTGTACCCCAGCCGGCGGGCCTTGTCCGGGCGGGTGGGGCGCGGTGCCCGGTGCAGGGCCGACAGCTGCCGGTACTGCCAGCAGCGCACACGCAGCAGGAACCGCATCACGTCCGACTGCTTCTTCCTCCATAGCTCCTGGATGTACTTGTAGGCACCCATGTCTGTCTACCTGCTGAACGGAGAGGCCGGTGAAAACAACGCACCAAAACCCGATCCCAAACTCGAGCGTCTTCCAACACCAACACTGCATAAAACCACACATGGAACACCACCGAGAGACAGGAAGCTCACAAGCTCCTCTGTACCACTGACACAACTGGAGACATGGATCACACTTGGCAACCCCCAGCAGGACACGCAGCAGTCACCATTCTTGGCAATTTTTCTCCTTTTCATGTGTTCTGAGGTGTTAAAAACTCCTCCACTGAGAAAGTTTCCGATGTGTTATGTCTGATACTACCAAAAATAACAGTTAACACCTGAAACAAGTTGTAAATGTCAATCTACACAGAACCAGGGGAGGGCAAGTAGTGTAGTTTTTATTCTTAACACTTACTTTAGTAAGGTTTTACCGGCAAGTGAAAGCTTAACAGTTGCCTAAGAAATGGAAAGAACTGCATTGGGACTTCTGTTCCCTCAGTGCTACTCACACTGTGCCTCCTACATCTCAGGAGAGACAAGGCCCTTCTCCACATCTGCTGAAACTGGGCTTTAAGCAAAGAGAGGTGTATTGCTTGGGTCACACATGGAGCAAAAAATCAAGTGCCATAGCTCAGCATCCCGCTGATGGTGACATCTGTGCTCTGCTCCACAGATGCCTTGTGTTTTCTTTT